TACCACAAAAAAGCTCTACTAGGTCTAAACTTCTCCAAAGGAAGGAACCTGGAGTGAGCCTTCCCCAAACCACTCTTGGAGGTCTTAAAGAACAGGAAGGCCCCCATGGGATAAGGTGCTCCTTCAGGTTGTGTGCAGGTTATAGGTTAAAAAAACCTCTTAAACTTGGCCCAGAAAAAAAGTCCTGGAAGTCAGTGAAAATGAGCCAAAATTGTAGTAACATGCTCAGTGAATCAAAGATCTTCTGGGAAGCAGCAGGAGAATTCTGTACAAGCTGAAGAATTTGGACCATCTTCAAGAGCAACCCTGCCAAGACCATGATGGTAGTAATCTATCTCCAAAGTTTCTAGGAAACAGATGACTATCTCCAAGGTAGGCCTGCCACTGAAAAGCACTCCTAGCCACCTGCTAACTAGGCATGCAGGAACTTCCTCAAGTGGTATATTTACACCTTCCAAGTGAGTGTAATGCTCTAATGCACTTGTAAAAGCCATACACACTTGCTGTGTTAGTACTTGGAACCCCTATCATCATCAGCACACCTTTCTAGGATTCAACTTGAATTTGTTCATCTGCATCCAATTTCTAGCAGAATCTGACTGGGCTCAATGAGGAGGGAAAAAATATCAGCATGCTGATGATTCTGCATTCCAAAATGACAAGGAATCCTTCCTTGTGGCTGCACAGAGACATGTCAAAGCACTAGGGATAAGAAGGAATCTACAGCATCCTCAGGGCCAGGGAGTGGAGCATCAGCCACTCAGAGCTGTCTGCTTCACCTACCTTCTCAGGTGGGATGAGAACCACTGCAACACAGTGACCCCAAGATTCTTTAACTGCACATTCCACATATTTCTGAACTGCTTGCGATTGGTAGTGACCTGAGGAGTCTAAAAAGCATAGTGTTGTCTTCTTTTTTTAAAGAAAGCAAAAGGCAACTTAATTTAATGAAGTTGTGTTACAGCAGCACCAAAAATGAAACCATAGTTAAGTTTACATTGAGAGTTTCACTCCAGACAGTAGTAAAACATTCTGTACTTAAGTGATTGAGTTGTGTTCCCATATTTTGCACACTGACTCTTCAGGGGACAGCTAAATTATCCATAACACTATTTTCCTCAACAATTTATTAACTCTGGCAGAACAAGTACTTCAAAATTAGATCCTTTCCCCCTGTCTTACTCTCCTCCAGATATTTTGCTTTATGCCCTTTCTTTCACCTTTCAAGGCATCCCTGGACCAAGTGCTTTTCAGACATGATCTCTTCGTATACTTAGCCAGGCTGTTGAAGTGTGTATTTTCTCTTCTTTGAAATAGTAAGCTAATTCAACCTTCTTTTGAATAAAGAAGAACTTAGCAGTTTGAGGGTTGTATGTTAGGCATATTTGTTAAAGGTGCAAGCATTCAGATTCCATGGTGATTGTTTAATGACTTGCTTAGGCTTAATATCATATATACCATGGGGCCATATATAGCCTGGATGTTGAAAGCAGGATTCTGGCCCCACAAGGCTGGCCGGCCTGCCTGCCTGAGACAGGTCTTAGGACAGCAGTCTGAGTCTGCCCCGGGGCAACATCCAAGATGGTGCCTGGTTTCAATTCTCCAGTTGTCCCTCTGCCCCTCCAAGCACATGGCAATGCCAACAGCATCAGAGCAGGAGACACACAGGCTATATGCCACCCTGATTGTTTAACTGAATACCTAGGGTCATCCCACATGCCTACTGCTCATACCACTTTGTGCCAGGAGACACTGGGAGGCTGGCTTGATTATATCACTGATCAGCTTAGGGAGAAGATCCAACCATGTCCAAAATGTCCAAAGCACTATGCAGGTGCTGAGTCTGCTGCCAGATGGAGGGCTCCTGCTGTTTCCATTGAGAAGGCATTCTGTGGTTCTTTCAGCTTTTTTTTCTTAGTGAGTCTTAGTCACTGATAAGAAAAAAGACAGAAGTGGAAGAAAGGAGAGTTCTGAGCTGAAGACATCACCATCTGCCTGCCCCATAAAATTGAGTGAATAAAGCAGGGTGATGGTGCCTTAAAAGTCTCATCTGGAAGCACCCAGAGATAATCTCTGGGTGTGCATTCCATGTTAAGGTTTTTTGCTAGGGTAATGTTTGATACTGGCTTTAATCCTGTAATCTGCAACTGCAGTCTGCAAGGTAGAAATCTACAACAATCATTTTGTTTTCAGTAGTGCATTAAAAAAAGATAGCTTCTTAACAGAATAATAGCCCTTGTTAAAATACTTTCAGATGCCGTGAAATATGCCTAGTCAGATAGTATTTAGATCAAGAAATTTGGTACTGTGCAAAGGCATCTGTCCTGAGAACATCCATTATCATACTTTGGCAAAACCAGGACATATAGGTCTTTGTCCTCATGGGAACTGTGTTTGTCTAAAAATCCTTCCTTAAATTCTTCTGCACATGTGGGGAAATGTTTGCACCATCTTAGATTCTGCACCTTCACTTCAAGCTGAAGCCAGAGGAAAGGAATTGCTAAAGAATGGTGAAGGAAAAGAATTGATCTGAGGCAGGATCTGGATGGGTGGTGAATCTGGGGAAGAAAGAGTTGGGATATCTAGGTTACTGGACAGGATAAACTTGGGGAAATAAATTAATTAAGATGACTTATGATGTGTGATATGACCTGTACTATGTATCTTGGCTCACTTTCTTTTGAGGCTTCTGCTCTGTCTGTAGGTGTCTTGCTGCTTTCTAATGTAGCTCAGTTGTGGTTTCCTTGGAGTTATTTTTTCCTATGTGTCCTAATTCCATGGCAATGGTGCAACTTAGTACTGCAAAGGACTTATAAACACTTGCAATTGCTGTACATCATAGCTTAAGAGTGCAGTCCTATGCAGATGAGTGTACGACCCCAGACTCAGCAGCCCATGATCATCTAATGCAGAGTGGAAGGGGCAGTGGAAGTGATCTCTGTCTCCTTGCTTCTCCTGTTCTGAATTTTTGTTAGACAACCACTTTTGACCATGTAGCGGTGGCATCTCAAAGGGTGGGGAAAGGAGGCTACAGTGACTTCAGGACACCTGCTCCAGTCTCCTTCCCTCTCTGCATCCCATAATGTCCCCCTCCAAAGTTGCTTTCCCCACCTCAGAGAGTAATGATACTACACAGGGGCCATAAGATCGTTTGTTTTCCTAGCTCCAAGGACAGAGACAGCACTCTGACCTAAGGGCTCAAATTTGAGCCTTCAGCCTCCCTCCCATTCACAGCCAGCACCAAAAGAAGCATGTCAATTGCTCTTCAGCATCTAGGCACCATAGGATCATTCCCTCTGAGAATGTAGCGGAAATTCTTATCCAGGCTCTGTGTACCAAAGGAGCACTTCAGGGCATACTTTCTGCAAGCCTGCATTCACTGTGGAATACTTTATTTTGAATCTCACTAGCGATGTTTTGAATGTGTGAAGAATTTTTTTTGCTGTGCAGTTCCAAAAAAACATTTGTTCAGTTTAAAATCCAAGTGCTATTATGTTAACTGATGTACAAAGTGGCTGGTAAGAATATGAAAATATAACTGAGTAGTGCAATCTTCTAGAACACAAGACTCTGATTAAGCATTCTCATTTCTCACCCCCTTACCAAAGACACTTCTCTCAGATCGCACTGCTAATCCTTGCAAAAATGTTCACCATGGACATTTTTCAGTGGTTAATGAAATCCTTCCATGTATTCATTCAGATGCTGTTTTTTGGATGTTGTTCAGTAAGGCTTATTTTCAACAGGGCAAGTTGCAAAAATGGTAGGTGGGTTGCAAGCTCTGCCATTTGCTCTGGCAGCCCATTACCATCCCTTTGGATTAAAGGAAATTTAGTAGTTTGGGGCTGACACATTAAGCATGGAGTTAAACTTGTATGGACAGCAGCCCCTTCATCCAGCTTTTCAATAATTGGCCCCTTCACCCAAACATTCTTCATCTCCAATTGCATCCTGATAAATACATTTGCAGCATTCACAATCACAGCAAGTAATACTGTGAGTTTTCCACCAGGCCCTGTGTTTTGCATGAATATGCCTGAAGGATGATCAGGCTGAAAATGGTAACTCTCCTCCATCTGCCATTTTCTTCCTTCTCAGTCCTCCAGCTGATATCCTAAGAGGTACCATGAGCAGCAATGACGAGGAGGCAGCATTGATCTGCCTGGTCTTCTTATGGCTTGCCAGAGAGGCATTTGGGAGCCAGTGCCAGTTCAGTTGCACTCTTTGGCAAGCTTGAGTGAGAAAGCAGAGCACTAGAGGTATCCATTGCAGTGTGCAGGCACCACTGCCCAGCTGCGTCTCACCTCGCTGCTCACATGAGAGGGACAGCATGGGGGAACGTGCTGCAGCACGCAGCCTTCAACTGGGCATTGCTGGCCAGTGGAGTCTTGCCACACCTACACTCTTCTTCTAGCACCAACCATCTGACTGCTCACCCCTACCTCAAATAAGATCTTGAGGGAGGGAGGCAGGAGGAGTGGGATCATCTGTGCCAGCTATGTCCAATGGGAGCTGTCAGTGGCACTCTCTACTTAGCCACTCAGCAAGTGTGCCAAGTGGCTCTGTGCTTCTGGTCTGAGTACTACACCAAATTGTGTTTTCCATTTCAGATGACACAACAAGCAATTGTGGTTCCAAGCAACCATAGAACACATAATTGGTTCTGCTCATGGCTATTCAAAACCAAGCAAACCACATGGAAATACCATGATGGGGTTTGGATGACATGACAGACAAAAAAAATTAAAAGCCATAATTGCTTGTCATATGAATGTGCCCATTGTTTGAATCATTTCAAAAGCATGCAAACAGCAAGAATGTTGTTTTTCCCAGTGCTTCTCAAATATGGATCAAATGGTACAAAACAGCAGCCAGTGTGAACTACTCAGTGTGTGTGTATATTCAAAAGCCTCTAAAGAGACTTTCTTTCCTGAAGTGATTCTTGCCTACTGTGGCTTAGTTTGGCCTGAATTTGACTTGTACATTTGATTTACTTTTAGGTGGGGAATCTTGGATTGCTCTTTATGCTCCTTTTTTTCATCTATGCTGCTCTAGGAGTGGAGCTTTTTGGGAAACTTGGTAAGTTTTCTAACACAGAGATGAGTCACACGAATGCAGGAATGGATAATTTCCACAGGGCACCACATTTCCAAATAACAGAAATGAATTTCTGATTATCTTAATCCTATTCAGAAATCTCAATAAGGTTATGGGATTTATCATGCGTGTCCTATTCCACAGAGTGCCACTGCATTTTGCAACAAATGCACAATCATTGTGGAAAATGCAGAATTCATATTACCACTCTTTTCAGCATCAGGAGGAACCCCTGATGGCCTATTCATGTCTGCTACATTCATGTCATGTGTCATTAAGGTTAACTTGATTAACTATTAAGATCCCTTGATCCCCCCACCACCACTTCTTTCCACTGGGGTAGTTTGTAGCAGTTTCAGATTGTTAAATGGTAATGCTACAGAAAGAAGTAGAGCTGTGTGTAAATGGCCTCATGAAATTCTCTACTCTGTTTCTGGAGAAACAATTAGGGGACATTTTGACAACATCTTCCACTTATTCAGGGCTGTGGATCATTAGTAACAGTAACTGATTCTTGTTCTATTTGACAAGTGTCAACAGTAGCCACCATTTTGCATCTTCCAAAGTCCTCCAGATATAGTGTCATTCCAGGGCATTACAGAAGAAATAAGGCAGCCACCATCCAAAAGACTGGTGGAGGACAGAGGATCCTGCAAGGTGGCCTTCTTTTTTACTAAGGAGATGCAAAAAAGATAAGAACAATCTCAGAACTTTTCTCAGGAAAAGATCCATAGAGCCAGCCATGTTAGTGTATTGCAGCAAAACAAACAAAGAGCTAATACATGTATTCTAGCATACATTTTCACTGACTGTAGCCTACTTTATCTGATGCACGGAGTATTATGGAGAATTTTGGGGGTTTTAGAGAGTATACATGGTTTGTGGGTGTGGGGATTATAAATAGTAAGGTCAGAGTGAATTAAATGCAGAAATACTGCCCCCTGAGATCGGCAACAGAAGCCCTCCTCTGGGAACCCTCTGTGAAAGATGTTAGGAGACAGAGTACCCGGAGGAGGGCCTTCTCTGCAGTGGCGCCCTGTCTGTGGAATGCGCTCCCCAGAGAGGTCTGCCTGGTGCCGTCATTGTATGTTTTTCAGCGCCAGGTTAAGACCTTTTTATTTAATCAATATTTTAATAAGTTTTAATATCAAATTTTATTATTGTATTTTATTAATTGCAGCCAGAGTGGGTCATCAATTTATTTATGCTGTTAGCCGTCCAGAGACGTTAGTAATTGGACGGCATACAAATTTTATAAATAAATGAAAAAATACAGTAACAATCATTCACAGTGCCATTGTTGTTGTTGATGCAATTATCTTGGTGCTAAGTATTCCAATTGACAAGTGCAGGGTGATAAAAAATCCTTTGTCTTAATTCTAACTTCTGTCAATAGAATTGAACCACTTGACAAATTCTTAACAAATTTTAATTCAAATTTCTCTTTGAAGTTTATTTGTTACCCAGTGGCCACTTTAAGGTCAGTGGCAGAGTCTCCTGGAATGCCAAGGAGTTATCCTAGTTTTTCTAATGCTCCTGATTTTCTGTAAGCCTCGCTTTTTCCCCTTCAGCTGTCCTTCTTTCTGTTTATCCTACTCCATAAAGTACCATGCACATGTAGAAGTATAGGAAGGTCAAGATCATCCAAGCCAAGGTCAAGATCACCCAAACTATTGTATTTCCAATCACAATGTATGGGTATGGCTGGACAATGAAGGAAGCTGGCAGGGGGAAAATCATGTGTTCAAAACATGGTACTGGAGGAGAGCTTTGCAAATACTTTGGACAGAGAGAAAGACAAAACTAGAAGTGGGTCCTAGATGAAATTAAGCCATTGCTTTCCCTAGAAGCAAAAATGACAAAACTGAGGATGTCATACTTTGGGCACATCATGAGAAAGCAAGATTCACTGGAGAAAACAATCATGTTAGGGAAAGTTGAAGGCAGAAGATGAAAGAGAAGACCAAATATGAGATAGACTGAATCCATAAAGGGTGTCACAGCTTGAACTTGGGAGAGCTGAATGGAGCTGTCATGGACAGGACATTTTGGAGGGCTTTCATTCATAGTTTTCGTAAGTCAGAGACATAACATAACAACAGCAGTGATGAGGAGGAGGAGGAGGAGGAGGAGGGAGGAGATATCACATTATTGTTGTTAACATGGATTTATTATAATAGTGTATATGGTACTTTATACAATATAATACTTATCTTCATAATTACATAATTATGTACATACAGCCCTGCTGTAGATCTTTAGGGAACCCCATTACTTTTTCTGTTTATTCTTAACTGTTATAGTCTCCAGATCTTGAAACAGGTTAGGGTTAACAGGTTATTCAACATTTTCAATTGAACACTATGTTTTCAGCCAGGATATCCATCTAGGTTATCAGTGTCACAATACTGGAAAGCTTAAATAAACTCAGTTTATTATCTTTTTAGGGTGCAATCCTAAGCATGTTTAGCCAGAAAAAGCCCTGCAACTTGCAGCATTACTCAACCAGCCATGTTGGATGGGAAACAGAGAGAATTGCAGAACATTTTTCTCCCCAAACAGGCATAGGATTGTACCCTTAAAGAACTCTGAATTGCTCTGGATTTCCTTCAATGCCCCAGTCAGTCAGCTAATCTTACATTCACGCTGTTGCTTCAGTCCAAATTGGATGGGCTGGGGCGATACCTCCCACTCCTGACAAGCACCCAGGCCTTTCATTCCTCTCATGTCTTTCCATTTGCAAACGACAGCAGCCACAGGAGAAGTGGATGTAGCACAGAATAGGAAGGGATGAAAGAGAGTTTCCTCAGCAGCCAGGCAACTAGCTCTTCCTTCTTTTCCTGTGCCAGGCTGCAGTCTGCACAGTGTGGTACAGAAAGAGAGTTATTCAATTGTCTAGGTCAGAGGTACAGAACCCAGTGTCCTCCAGATGTTTTGGAAGGCACCAGGTGGCCTACCATGGTCTAAGCAATTGGGCAGCAGTCTCCTCCCTTGCCATGATCCAGCATCTCGAAGATAACATTAGAAAAAGGAAAGGCAGTTGCCTTGGCAACTGGGCAAGGGTTCTCATGTTTTGCTGTACAGCAGAGTCACCAGTTGGCAAGTCAGTGGACAAGTGCTCTTTCACCGTGCTGAAGCACAAGAGGAGAGAGGAGTATCCTCCTCGTTTCCTAAGCAGCAAGCGGACATGCCTCCTTCACCCTGCTGTAGTCCACTGGGCAAACTCCCCCCATCTCCAAAGCTTCCATGTATTAACAAAGGACAGTCAAACTTTGCAGCCTACAGATGAGACTGCAAAGCTATGGTGGAAATTTCAATTAATCTCTAGTTTACGCCTGAGGAAGAACATATTCTCAGAAATCTTAATTCCAGAAGACTTTCTCAAGGCCAAGAGCATTGAAGTACATGTGTCATTTATATCTCAAATGTGTATCTCACCCGTTGGCTAAGGTGCTCAGAATCACACAGAAGCCCTGGAAGGATATAATTGACTTGTCTAAAATGATGCAGTAAACTTTATAACTGAAGAAGATTTGAAACTCGGCTTCCCACAATAGATTGCTGGTCACAACTTTTATACATTTTAGAAAGAGAGCTTTTATAGATTATTCTATTGTCTATGGTTTGTTAAGAAGTGGTTTCTGTACCAAAAAGAGTTTTTATTTTAGAATTCCAGAAAAATTTAATGGAGGAGACAGAGCAAGAGTGGGATGCTGACTTAATGACATGGTTGTGATTAGAGATGCAAAGATGAGGCCAAAATCTACCTCCTGTGCTCACCAAACTTCTTTCCCATGTTCAGTGCTGGCCAGGAAGATCAAGGTGGCAAATGCTTGGGCATGCTAGTGGTGTCCTTGCACGAAGTATGCAAAGTACATAATTTTTATGTAATGCCCCTAAGTTGCATGTGCAGAAGCAGAACCCCAGTTGCACTGTGGGTGCACAGATGGTGCTTACAAGCTGGCCTTGGAAACTTTACTCATTTCCTGCCAGATGCCCATGTGAATGCTTGGCATTAGGAGGAATTGGGACAGAGGGAAAGGAGCCCAGCTGAGGGAACTGAGGAAATCTGATGGATTCCCACCACCCCACAAACTAAATTTCTGACCTTCAGTAGTTGTGCCCATGCTTTCTGGAATTATTAGGTTGAAGCACTGAGCTCCTTGTAGTATATAGTACCTCACTGCAACACTTGAACAGGCGTTGTATAAAGTTGTAGCTGGGAATTGGTTAATATCAGGTCAACTAGAAATTTAAACATTTATTTTGTCAGTCTTGCTGGCACCAACATCTGGCTCCAGCACATTTGCCAACTACTGCCTGTGTAAGCTATTAGTCCATTAATTTTAAAGGTGATGCAGAAACAGCATTTTTGCAGTGTAGGATCCAAAGACAGTAAAGAAATTTATATCTGGTCCTTTCAAATAATAAAAGAAGATGGGCCATTGGATGGGCCTAAACGGCTTGGGTCCTGGTTACCTGAAGGAGTGCTTACATCCATATACGCCTGCCCGCCCGCCCGCCCCTTGAGATCTGCAGGAGAGGCCCTTCTCCGGGATCCCTCCGTGAAAGAAATTAGGAGGGTAGGTACTCGGAGGAGGGCTTTCTCTGTGGTGGCGCCCAATCTATGGAATGCGCTCCCCAGAGAGGTCCTCCTGGCGCCGCCGTCATTTGTTTTTCGGTGCCAGGCAACGACCTTTTTATTTAAGCATCATTTTAATTGTTAATATTATTCGCTTATTTTATCTGGCCAGGGCGACTTATTTTATATTGTTATCTCTTGTATTTTAATTTATGTTGTGTGCCGCCCCGAGGCTTCGGCGAATGGGGCGGCATAGAAATGTTTTAATAAATAAATAAATAACTAGTGGCTGACATTAAATATTGCAGGAACATGTTGGTTTTCAGGCGGTAATCAGATTTTGGTCATTTCAGACTCCTCAGTTTGTTTGTCAATAACACTGTGTAAAAGCTATTTCTATGTGGGTTTAGATATAATGTCAGAATCATTAGAGCCTTCTCTGCTATGCTGTAATACAGCCATTTGTTTTTTCACTAATAAATCCCTTCTTTCCAGTATGCAATGACGATAACCCTTGTGAGGGTATGAGCCGTCATGCCACCTTTGAGAATTTTGGGATGGCTTTCCTGACACTTTTCCAGGTTTCAACTGGTGACAATTGGAATGGAATCATGAAGGTAACTTGGGCCACTAATGGAAACACCTCTCATGCCCCAGGAAGCAGTATCCTGAAACAGAAGTAGTTCCACATTTTGTGCATATGTGTGAGTTGTGGGGAGGGAAAGGAAGGGAGGGGAAGGATATTGTTAGGAACAACTGGCGAGCTTCAAGTATCTGGATAATGAGGAAAGGCCGTATATATTCTGTGGTAATTCTGCAATAATTCAGCAGCTTTCTGGTGGGGGGATATGGAAGAAAATGTGAGGATTGAGGAAGATTTCGGGCATCCAGTCTGTGGCCATCAATATATAGATATGACAAGAAGTGTTGGGACTTTATTGAGTAGTTGAGCAGATCTTGCATCTTGGGACCATCAGTGGAATTTCAGCATATTCTTAGATCTTGTGTGGGATCTGAATTCCTGAAGCAAGAAGAAAGGACAAAGAGTTGGGAGAGCCCTGGCATCAGCCAATGTGATTATTCTGCTTGCCGCATTAAGCCTATTGCCATTTGGTCCTATAAGCATTAATTGGGGCAGTGCAAATGTGTCCCTTGTGAAATGGGCTTGTTCCATTACTACATTAAAGCTAAGCAAAGATGCACCACCTTAACAGAAAGTAGGTGCAGAATAGTGTACAATTATGAAATTGGATCAGGCTCTTTGAGATAGACTTTGTATGGCCAATGCTCATGAGCCCTACCTAGTTCCTTTCATAGAAGTTCATCCATTCACATAATCATCTTCTCCACTGACAAGTTATATTATAGTCCAACAATAACAACTGGGTCAGGAAAGAATGACAAAGACTCTTGTCACCTAAATGAGTAGCATTTCATGCTGAATCCCCAGTCCTATGAAATATATTTCTCAAAGGAGAGCATTCTTCAATAGTGTATTGGGGCAGAAAAACAAAGTTTGCAGCAGTGCTTCCCATTCATATATGATGGAATGAAGAGATAGCCCATTTGAGCATTAACTGTGTCTGACTTTTGGCTCATACACTAGAAATATATGCCCGCCTGCCCCCTGAGATCTGTGGGAGAGGCCCTTCTCCGGGAACCCTCTGTGAAGGAAATTAGGAGGGTGGGTACTCGGAGGAGGGCTTTCTCTGCGGTGGCGCCCAATCTATGGAATGCGCTCCCCAGAGAGGTC